TGCCACATGGACAAGTAGCAATACACCCTTGACTAGAAACTTTGTATAGCAATTTTCCCTGCCTTTTGCCATTTTACATTTGCAAATTGCCAAGGACATATGTTTCTTGTGTTGCTACGAAGGTTTGTTTGTGAGTACTGGTACAAGACACCCATCTTTGATATATCTTCAAATAGGTATTGCACTTTGAGATTCATATAGTAATTTAGAATGCTACCTTGAAGGACATAAGAAACTTTAAGAGCTCTTTTTAACTCTCATCCTTCTTTGCAAGAAACATTCTGTATCATCAGACTGAATACAAATTCTCTCAACATTGAACTCCTTTGTCTTGTCTGCAGCACTGTAATAGACATGGGCCATAAGGAGAGTGTCAACTTCTTCATGATCAGTATTTGATAGATAAGTTGCAACTATCAGTTTTGCAAAGTTCAATAGCAGCTCTGCCATAAGTGAAATTCATCCCATTTTAGAGATACAGTAACATTGCTTCACAAACCAAAGACAGCTTTACCATTTTGTAATCCTTTCCAAAATCATCTTGTTGGCTGTTCTTCATTTCACAATGTTTACATTTACCAAAATATCCCCAAGCCCAATATCTATCATGAACTTCCTAATTACACCACCCTAATATGGAAATCACCAAGCATTTGACAACATTGCATTTGATATGAGGGAATTCAACCAATATGGCTTGATCACTGGTTATAATTATCACAGTACTATACCCCATTATTTTTAAATATATTCCAAGTATTGTACTATACATTGCATAGATTCATGAGCAGTTTGCAACATATCATAACCAGAAAAGCCCAATGGACAAAGATAGAGAATACCCGCCCCATTTGCAACTCAACTTTAAATGTCTAATTTTTAGACTTGTATACTCATGAAGTTCCTGACACATCTGAAAAATATCAAATAATACATAGTATTGATCTAGAATAGCGACAACTTTGTTAAAGTCTATACTTTGAAATTGTTTGGTTTTTATATTTCTGGTTATTTTTTCAAAATAAATGGGGTAGGGGAGATATGTAAGCTCTAATATAATGACAGGCTTTCCAATATACATTTTTAAATACCTTAAATCAAAGTAGGCAGGCAAAAGAACAAATTTGATCAAGAATCCATCAACCAATCAGCATAAAACTCAAGATATAAGGAACTATATGTTATTGTTAACAGTGGAAATGATGAAAAATGCCAAATTTTGTTCTTAAATGTCTAATTTCTCTACACTAGAATACTAATGAAGGTCCTGAAACATTAAAAATAGCAATCAATAACACATAAAGAATAGTTACATCTTTGTTAAAGTTTATACTGGTAGTTTGAAGTTATTTTTTATATTTTCCAGTCATCTTCCCTAATAAATGGGGTAGGGGAGAACTGAAAGCTCTAATATGAACATTGTTTGTCTACTATACATTTTCAGTACCTTAAATGGAATAAAACATGTACAAGAACAGATTTAATCAAAAATGCATCAACCAGTCAGCATAAAACTCAAGATATGAGGATCTATATATTACTGCTGAAAGCAGCATTGATTAAAAAATGCCAAGTTTTGTCCTTAAATGTCTCATTTCTAGCCACTTGAATACCAATAAAAGTTCTGAAAAATCTTAAAAATATTAAATAACACATAATATTGATAATAGAATAGCTACAACTTTATGAAAGTCTATAATTTCAAGTTATTTTATTTTTTTATATTTCTCGTTTATTTTCCATAATTGATGGGGTAGGGGAGATCTGAAAGCTCTAATATGAACATTGTTTGTCTACTATACATTTTCTATACCTTAAATGGAAGAAGACATGCACAAGAACAGATTTGATTGCAAATGCAACAATCAGACAGCATAAAACTGAAGATATGAGGAACTATATATTACTGCTGAAAGCGAAAATGATAAAAAATGCCAAGTTTTGTCCTTAAATGTCTCATTTCTAGCCACTTGTATACCGCTATAGGTTCTGAAATATCTTAAAAACATTAAATAACACACAATATTGACATAGAATAGCTACAACTTTGTTAAAGTTTATAATTTCAAGTTATTTTATTTTTTCATATTTTTCGGTAATTTTCCATAATAAATGGGGTAGGGGAGATCTGAACGCTCTCATATGAACAATGGTTGTCCACTATACATTTTCTACACCTTAAATGGAAGAACATATGTACAAGCACAGATTTAATCAAAAATGCAACAACCAGTCAGCATTAAACTCGAGATATAAGGAACTATATGTTAATGCTGAAAGCGAAAATGATTAAAAATGCAAAATTTTGTCCTTAAATGTCACATTTCTAGACACAAGTATACTAATGAAGGTCTTGAAACATCTGAGAAACCTTACATAACACAAAATATTGATATAGAATAGCTACAACTTTGTTTGAGTTGAACATTTTGACTTCTTGTAGTTTCCATTTTTAGCCAATTTTTTTCTAAAAAATTCAAGGTATGTCTTCTTCGGACCAGTATTTAGATATGTTCGCAAGAGTTATATGCTTCGCAGGCGAAATCCTTTATGCAGGACACCCTAATAGAATAAAAAATACACAGAAATTCCATCCAGCTCATAAAGTCATTTTTTCCTTAACGGAGCCTCTTAGAAAATTTTCCACCCCAAGTAATTTATACCATGACATAACTCCTACAAATAAATTTTTTAGAGCTTCGAGACTGCAAATTCTCGGAAAATCCCTATGGCGATTTAACATGGGATTTTATCGTTTTCGCAATTTTTCGCGCGCTCACCAGCTTCGGATCACTGTAACTTTGTAAATACTTAACGAAAAGTCATGAACTTTTTTTTAAAATGTTTGTACAGACTTCAGGTTTAAATAAATTGATAAAACATGCATTTTTATCATCAGGGGTCCCTTGGAGACCCCTTAGAACAAAATCGATCATATATGATCGATTTTGTTTCTTGCTATTCTAAGGGGTCTCCAGGGGCCCTTTTTCAATAAAACTGCAAGAATAATGCATTTTCTAAAAGAATGGACCAGTAGGAACATCTAAAAAATTTATTTGTAGGAGTTATGTCATAGTACAAATACCACTGAAATCAGCATAAGAAGATTTATAATTCTGTGTTTTCAGATTTTTAAATTGAAGTCTCAATAAAAAATTAAATGCTAAAATAATTCCATTTTAAAAAAAATCCAACTGCGCCATCTTGAATTATGACATCACAATGACACTATCTCATTTGCATATTCATTTTTTTTCAAAAAACATGAAGTATGGGTATAGCCCTTCAAAATGGCATATAACTTATTGGGTGTTGCTTCTTTTTCTTGCTTCTAGATTCATTTACATTTCAGTTTTTCATTTCTTTCCATTTTAAATATTTCTAAATAATTTTCACATGAAATTGTTGTCAATCAGTCAACATTACATAAAATACTGTTTTTTTTACAGAATGTTTTTAATGATTGGTTGAAGAGAAAAGCATTGTTGAATTAGTTCTCCATATCATGGGCTTTCAACTAGAAGGGTATGCAACTCTATGTAATAACATGAGACCTTCAAAATGAGCAATGACATGCTTCCCTTTTATGGCAATATTTCAAAAAGTATTAGATAAATGTATATGTTTTAGTATTAATTTGAATAAAAATCAATTTTTTAATATGATTTAAGCATAAAATATATTCAATATCATATAAAAGTAAACAAAAGAGACCAATAAGAATAAGAGTTATCAAGATGTTCTCTTGAGTATTGCATTGTGGGTAATTATTCAAGAACACATTCCAATAAAAACATAATTTGTGGGAGAATGTTCACTTTCTGTATTGTCATAATTATGATGAATTCCAATTTTTATTAAATTATCAAGATGTATGGAGAAGATCATGTTTTTATTTTTGAGTTATTTCTTTTAATCATCAATAAAAAGTACAAAATAAGATTTACTTGGAATGTGTACATTCTCCAATTTTGAAAACCCATGGCAATGTTTATGTATGAAATATGGGAAGTTGCCTATACCCTTCTAGTTGAAAGCCCATGTCCATATCGATACCAATCCTTTGGCCTGAAATTTAATAAATAAGGCCTAAAAAGCCCAGTTATGACCTATGTTGGTTTTCGGTACAATGCGCTTCAGTAGGAAGTTGTCCAAGTTAATGTAAATTATCAGGAACATCTAGTACTGAAAAAGTTAGCCTTGAAGGCCCTTTGAAGCAAATCACCTCTTTTTGTTTGAGAGATTGGTCGTGATTCAACCTTCATTCAGTATTATAGATGGCGGGAAAATCACTAAGTCGGAAGATAAACTGTGGAGTGAGCTCTTGCTAAACAACCAAAAGGTTCGAACTGGATTACACACAAGGTTGAATTTACTCCGCTCTTGTAAGAAAATGTAAGTATAAACTCTTTAATTTACATTGATTGTAAACATTGACAATTGGAGTGCAGGTTCAAGGTTTGGATATGTTGAAATTTGCGATAAAATGTGAGCTGTGGAGAAATTGAGTCTTGTTTTAGAATTCGACCAAGCCCAACATTTAGCCAAGACAAAGTTATATAAGGGCTAGGCCAAACATTCAATATTGTGATTCATCATCATGTGAATCGAATCACAGATCCGGAGCCAGATCCAGCTCCTATTGGTAGCAGGCTCAAGGAATAAATGGGAAGATAAGACCCAAAATGGTACATCAAAAAAATGACCACCCAAAAATATGACCAGAATTAGTTTGAATGGTTGCATGATTCCATTATTGTCGCTGTAAATGTAATTCAAATTTTCCCGGGACATTCATTTCATATTTCCACAGTGTAAAGATAATGGAGTGCTTCCGGCAATGGCTGATGTTGTTCGTTTCTCAAATTACGTCACATCACAACAAACAGCCAATGAAAGAAAAGATCTTGTAGCCTAACAAACCATTGTTATTGTTTCTACAGGATTTTAAAGATACGTCATGGGGTTTCTCGGTAATCTCTGATATGACTGCATCCGGAGTGGCATCATGTTCTCAGAAAAGACATTTGATTGTGGGAATAAACATTTGAACAACAGAAATAGCCGAAGCACTCTATTAAATATACGCTCGCTTATTTTATTTCGGAAGATTTTGTGTCCTTGAGTTGATTTATTGAGCCTAGACACCACTTAAGAGGTAATCCAGGAGAGGTCCGTGAATTAAATGGTGAGTACTGTACGACAGAGAGAGAGCGAGAGAGAGATATGTTACATATATGTTACATGTATACAGTGTAGGACAAGTGGCAAGTAATTTGTAAGTTGACACTAATCATCGTATAGACCCAGGGGTTCACTCCAAATAATTTGGGTGTAGGTATGTGCAGCACGGCCAATTTTAGCTTTCAGCATAAAACATGGAAATTGGCCAATCTGAGAGGGAAAAAACATGGAAATTGTCTATGAAAGTACCCTTTTTTAAGTCAAAATCCAGTCTTTTTACAAAAAATTGTACTAAAATGGTTAAACCAGTTGAGGCAGAATCTGATCCATAGGGGGTTCCAGGTCTGAGGAAAAAAAATAGTTGGCCCAAATTTTGAGGCCAATTTTCTTCAAAATGTGGCCTAAAATTAAAAAATAAGGTCTTAAAAAGCCCAGTAAAGACCAGACCAAAAAAGGCCTACTTTTGTGGGGATGAAGGCCTCTGAGCCCCACCCAAGGGAGGCAGGGGCGGGCCCCCCAGATGCGCCATTGAGCACTGTAGATTATTGTGACTGTATAAATGTAACTGTATAAATGTAGTTTGTATAATTGTAGTCTGGCCATGCCCTGATGATGCACAAGACACAGATGCCGTACCTTAATAAATTCTTAATTCTTATTCTTTAAAGGATTTCATAGTACTAGGACAATCTCATGAAAGTAGTTACAAAAATGAAAATGTACATAAAAATTTCTCCAAAGAACATACTCAGGTTATCATGTGCCACGCCTACTTTCTCTTATGAGAGAAAGTAAATATGACATTTCTGACTTCAACTTGAATGCTACCATATTTTGAAAATACTGAAAATGTATCTTATATCTTAGAATCTAAGAGATGGCAGCAGTACAGATGCAACCAACACAGGGGCAACCAGGCCAGCATCCCCCTCCTCCACCCCAGGCACCCCAAGGTAGGTGAAAAACTCAAAACCTAGAATGTTAGGCATGGTTATAAGACCTCTTTAGTTTGGCAGGTATTGATTTGGGTGACTTGTCATCAAATCATCAGGATCACAAAGTTGAGAGCATTGCTAAACATTTTAGTAGACTTGAAACACTCTTATCCAGCTGGGTTATTTTATTATCCTCGTGAACAAAGTTCAGTAGGGATATTGTAAAGCCCACTGTCAGTCAGTCAGTTAGCCTACATCCCAAGGGTTGTGTATCGAGGGGGCTGGGAAAGCACAAATTTTCTATAGTTTTGAGATCTCTCTGAAGTAGCAAATATTATACTCAAATGAAAGGTAGTTTAGAGTAGATTGCAAATATTGTTTCATTTTTTATCAGTAAATTATCTTGAAATCCCACGTTAGGCGGCCATTTTGAATTTTCTGAGGCCCAAATCAAATACCCACCCTGTCTCTAATTATATGTAAACCGTGAGTAGAGTAGATGGTATGACATAAACAGATTCTTGAATATTTTTTTTGTTGTTGGGATTTGCTACTCTGTGGGGTTGCCAATTTCTAGTTTTGTTTGTCTTTTGTCCAGGCTTTATACACATACATTTGAGTTATAGATTTTGGCATCTCGATTACAAATTATCATAAATGTATTGATCTCACAGAAGTACTGATGCATATTGTTATATCCTCAAACAGACTTTGAGTAGAATCAGAACTATAGTCAGGTAAATAGAGTCATGTTGATTTTCTATTATCAGACTGATCTTTTGTTGTCAGAACACAGTGTTATTTCTTAGCATCCTAGCAAATCTACAATGTTTGACATCAAATCCCTTATCATAATGCAAAATGTACAAATAACATGGTACATGATGAACAATATCATGATACCTAAACAAATAAACATAGCATTGGCCTCCTTGAAATATACCCAGCATGCAAGAAACTAATCATTTCTACATGTCCAGATGAAATTTTTAACCAATCGGTAAAGCATTTTGTCTGAAAATGCACGAACAAGAAAATTTGCCACCTCTACTCTGCCAGCCCATGGCCAAGCTGATGACAATAAATACCTAATTTAGGTACAAACATAAGAATAAGGGTTACAATCAATAGATAATATAATACTGTAGAGTGTCTTGTAAAATAAGGAAGTACATGTAGTTACATCATGTCATGAAAGCCCATGTGGTTACATACTTAAACTCACAGATCTAAGATGCATTAATTTCATCTTGAGATTATGCAAGGTTTGTTACTTTTCAAATGAAATGTCATTATCAAGGATCAGCTTCATAGTTGTCAGGCTTCGCAGGGTTCAGGCAAATCCCCCCCCCACCCTGGCCAAAAATTATTTCAAAATCATGCAGTTTTTCACCATTTTCTCAAGTGATTTTAGCCATATTTTGGCCAAAATTGTCAAATGTGAACCCCCTTGGCAAATCCTGGCTACGGGCCTGGTTGTTGTAATAAGAAGAGTAGAAAATAGAACATGTAATGGACAAAATTATTTACTGTAAGTACTTTGGAAAAACAAATCAGATGGTCTACAGTATACTTGTGTGATGAACTCACCGAATCAAATACATTTTTGGTTGGTAACAGCAATTTTGTTGGACCAAATATTTACACAATATATTGATTCACCTAGTTGCTTATTTATATTTAAAATGTCTTAAAGGGTAACGCATATCGTTTAAAGCAAATAGAATGCTCGTTTTTGGTGTTCCTCACCGTTTAGTATAAAATTCAAGATCCAGGATAATACTCAAGGGTATACCAGGTATACCAGGTTTGAAATCGTGTTGTAAACACCTCTGCCTTTTTATGTAGCAATAGTATAGAATAGATCGTACATGTATAAAAGAGAAGTTTTTATTTTGATAATCAATTTCACATTTTATGGGTCAAGTTTAGGATCTTCTATTTGTGAGTATTAGGAAAAAATGACATCTAAATTTAACCATCACGTATTAGCACACAACGTGACTTATGAAATGTCCTACAAATGAAGCAAAGCAGTTTGAATGAATACAAGGATTTATATTGGCTGTTGTACATCCATACTTTGGATAATTCACTCTCTCAATGTTGACAGAATCATTCTAAACAGATTATTTTATCTGCAAGACGATTTCGGTAAACTAAAATTTATAAAACTCCCCTTATTTTTTAAAAATGGACTGATCCAGATGACTCGCCTGGAGCCACCATATTGTTTTTATACGGAAAACTAGTTGTAACCCTTTAAATGTCAACATACACTTTTACATGTATGTTAGTTTTAGTGTTTACCAGAGCATTTTGATTTACTTTGGACTTGTTCATGTGTATTATAGACATTACGATTTAAATGTGCAGCAATAATAACATGTACGTCTTATATACATAAAAGTATTTCATGTATTAGTCATACCTGAGTGCCTGCATTGGTATTAGGTTTATCAACTTGATCCATCAAGGTATTACATACCTGGCTGAGTATGACTGAAGGGATACAGTGGTTTAACAGTATGATGGTTTATGATCAAATGGAAATACACGTACATGTTCAACTGTCATCATATTCATATTGTATATTACTTTGTCCTTTAGGGTATAGGATTCATTATATCGTGATTGTGTCAATATGTATTGTTTCTATGGGGAACTAATGTATGATATTACATTATTGTTCCAACAAGTCTGTTCACCAGATAACCAGGGATTCAATGCACCATGGTTCTAATTATGCATACCTAGTACCTCTAGCTGGCCAGCCTTTGGCTAAATTATGGCAAATATACTGCAATGTTATGTCATTTCATTCTCTAGGCTTAATGTAGATGAGACCAAACTCTTGCCAATGGTATTTACAGTATTTGAGTAGATATCATTCAAAACAGGATTCAGATATCTCCCCTACATACTTAGAGGTGTGTATAGAAGGAAGCAGGGTAGTCAGAAACTAGATGTAAGACTAGGTACAGTTGGATTTTAAGTTTCCTACTTCACAATTTTGATAGTTGTCTTGATAAAAATATCTACAATATTTAGTATGGGTGGAATTACGTAATGGAAAACAAGTCTTAACAAAACTGAATTTTTGGAGTACTTTAACAATTTGAAGGTCAACCAAGTAGTCCTTAGGGGTCTGGGGATACTTTTAGCTATTGTTATCTCCCACTTGTCTGTTCATCTGTCTGTCAACATATAGGTACCTAATTCGAAATCCTCCACGATAATTGAAATGGTTTCCCTTTTACAATCTCTCTATATCTAGTCTTAAATTGTTCCATAAATGGTGTCTCAAAAGCTTGCTTTGTTTCAAAATGGCAGCCATTTTTATTGCGCAAAAATCAGACTTTCATCTTTTTTTTGTTCCCATTTCCACATGTATGCTATTATTGAAATTGTAGATACCAAGTTTCAACAAAAAAACGTCGCAAATATTCAAAATGGCTGCCACTTTTGTTGAAATATCACTGTTAAACATATACATAAAAATAACTTCTGAGTCGATGTTTGATAACTCCAGAACACATTGAGGTTTTATTAAATATAGTCTAGTAATTATCTTGTTATTTATAATACAAATCCTAAAATAAGTATTGATTTGCTTGAATTTATACAGGCAGCTAATAATAAAGGTTAACAATATTGATAGCTAGAAGTTTTGTCAAAATATCTAGTAAAATTAGAAAATGACTGCCATTTTTATTATTATTACTGAAGTTGTTTTCAGCTCTTTTTGGTCTTAACTCCAAACGTATTCAGTCAACTACCTTGAAATTGTACAACTTACTACCTTATTTTATAAGCATATACTTATGTATGTTCAAAATTGGCTTTAGGTCATTTGTAGAACATGTACAAGTAATATAATAGGCACACGAGTAATATGATAGGCACACGTACATTTAATTATGATTTCTTCTGGAGTCACCTTTAATAATAAGATTTGAATCAATCATCTAATGAATTAACCATGATATTACATCAAGCATACACAGTTTGCTTAGTTTGGATTGAAGTATGGTCTTATTCTTGAATAATAGATTGATTAGAATAATATTGCATCTTTTTGATGCCTTTATATAATATAAGTGCAGGAATTCTAAGGGACTGGTAGAGTGACATTAAGGTAAAGGGGCTGGGAGGACTATTTGAGGTCTAAAATTTTTATATCTAGTCCCTGCTTATTTACATATAGTTACATTTATACTCAAGAGAGTATATGATATATTCACTCGTTCCCTTCGGTCACTCGTGAATATATCATACTCACGAGAGTATACCGATATACAGAATCAACCATTATATGATCTTATTATCCCACCCTTATCTTTAATCAATAAAAGGTTAATCTAAATTCATCAGCAGTTGTATATCAAGTCGTATACGCTGCCCAGGAGTTGTATACTCTATCCAGGAGTTGTATATCGTTCTCAAGAGTTGTATACAATGAGTGTTGCAGTTATACAATGCTATTATACAATCATATAAAGCACTTAGGGTGGGATAATATTTATCAAACTATGCATGACATATATTCAGAATGTGAAACAAGGCAACTTCATGATCATTATCAATATTAATTTTGTTATTCATGTTCTCAAACAATACTTTCTTGTTGCATTGAGCAATATGAAATGACTTTCATTGTCCTTTTCTCTAAAAATGTTTCACAATCTTCCATTTTGGTATTTGGCTTTGGCAACATGTCAAGTTGTTTACACAGTTTTAATCCAGATCTAGTTCAAATCTCACTCAAACAACACTATTGGATATGATTTAAGAAAAATTGTGTCAACCTTGATTCATCTTATATCAATATTTTGACTCAATCTCTAGAAACAGGTTTTCAAACAAAGAGTAAAGCTGAAAAAACAATGTCAGGCAGAAACCGCTTTTACAGACTTAAAACTCAAAAGATAGAGCTGGTCAAAATAGTAACCTTAATATGAATTCCCCATTTCATTAACACATCTTGTATGCCCAAGGTACATGTATATATAAAGTACATGTATTCATAATTGAAGATGAACCTGGTCAACGAGTATGCATTGGTCTTTCCTTTCTACAAGTTTTGAAATAAAATTTGATATAGATAGGGTTAAAATTGTCGACGTTTGAAAATTCAATGTCTGATGGGGCTCTAGGTATAACTGTCCCTTCTTTTGTGACAAGAAATCTTTTCACTCTGGTTAATTAAGAGTGATATCAACTAAATATAACATATTATGTCCATAAATTATACAATCTTACATTTTTTTATGTTTCTTAAAATGTGAAAATGTAAAACATTAACTTATCCATAAATCAAAACTCTATTGCAGGCCAAGCATTGCCAGGACAGGCTCCACCTGTACAGTTCATGGAGAAGCCCAATGTTGTAGGATGCCCCCCTGGCTTGGAGTACCTCACCCAGATAGACCAAATCCTCATTCACCAGCAGTTGGAGCTGTTAGAGGGTAAGTGCATGGGAAAATTGGAAATTGGAATAGTTTGTAAGGTATATACAGGGTATATATAAAGTCTTTACACTTCACACAGACTTAGTATTTATTGTTATTGTAAAGAGACTTGATGGACACTAGCTATATGGACACCCTGTATATCGTTAACAACACATTTTCATTTGTGTGTTCAGCTGTATTAGCTCTTAGTGTTTGTCAATATTCTGTTCTCAAATGGTTTAATTTAAGTCTTCTCATCTTGTCCAATTATTAAATCTTAAACTCTCAAGATATTAGTCTTATTTGAATTATACAATTTTCAAAATGATCAATTCTCAAATTATTTAGTTCTGCTTTCAATATTAATCTGAAATGTTTTGTAGTCTAGTGACCAACCCACTCTACTATAAGGAGGTGAAATCAATAGTGTCAGAGGGAGTGGGACTACAGATTTTATCTATAATTTAAAATGTTTAAAAGTAATAAATGTTACTATGTGTCGTATATAAAGAGATCAAGAAAATATATTATGGCTCAGAAATGAAGATAAAATAAAAATAGATATCTTCACTTGGATTTGAACCTGTTCTGCCTGAGTAAAAGGCAGGCTTGCTAACTACTACACTGGCCACCATGCTAGATGCTCACGGTTGAGTAATTTTTCCAAATATATCAATGGTTTTTGAAAAAGTCATATCACTACACTATAATTATTAGAAAATAATCATACCAATGATTTTAGATTGCATGTCTGAGTAAATATTCAAAGCAAAATTTAGAATAAATGATGTTTTATCCATTTTTCACTTTGAGAATCTATTTCCTGTCATAGCTAGTTCAAAATGCAAGGCCTAGAAATGTCTGTTTCGATTTCAATTTCCAAATTGATATATATCCATGGCTCAACTGTTTTTTGCACCTGAACCCATGCTGCAGTTGGGCCATAAATAGATGAGTAGTCAATTTTCTATCACAATTTCCAAACCATGGTGGTTTGAAAGCCCATATTTTTCAATAATGTCTAGATACGTATCTACATGTATTTCATTGAGAAATATTGCTTGAAACTCTCATTTCTCCCTCAAAAGTACTTGAATGTTGCTATAAGGTTGTATTTACCCGTGTCAGTGTTCACATTTTAAACCTACCCTTATAAAAAATTCAACCTTGAAAGTCCGAATTTAAACCGTTGCACAATCATTGTACAATCATTGATCCGATCATTTATGCAACCATGCCAACCGTTACAATGCAACCATTACAATTTTGGTTGTAAACTCATTGAAAATGTTTCAATCATATGTAACCATTGTCAACGCTTGACAATTTTGATTGAATTTCTTGCAACCGTTTCAATCGAATGCAACCCTTTAAACCTATGGTAATATTATCTCAATGCAACATAAAATAATTATATTGCTCTTTAAAATATATTTTTCAAATGTATGTATTTCATGCATACATGTCAGAATTTAAATTTTTTTGATCAAAAAGATATTTAAAGTATTGCAATAGTTTAGTAAACTTGTCTTGTGAATGAAAATATATTGAACCAATTTCCATCTAACCTTGAAGGATGGTGATTGTCCCACTCGCATGTATATTATCTAGATAACAGCAATGCTAAGGCATAGCAAATCCCCTCGCTGTCATAACAATCATTTTTACAAAATCCCTTCACTACTTTTCAAGTTATTGCAAAAACATTTGAAATAATTTTGATTGGGTCAAGTCTTGAATTTTACAAATTCAGACACTTATAACTTCACCTTCACCTGAGTAATTATCACAATTATAAAGGAGGGAAGATCTGTCTGGAAGGAAGAAAGAAATCCTTCAATCAGAAAATAATTGATTTGATATTTTTGATTTGATAGAGAAAATGCAATCAGACATTACAGGATGTGTTTTAAATAATTAAGTCAATAAGCATAACTTAAAAAATTCTGATTACAGAAAGACTCAGTCTCTTTAGTTTGATTAGAGTCTGCTTTGAAGGATTTGTCTAAAGAAACTTTATTAATCCATAAACAAAACAAAAATAATTCGGCAAGGCAAACAAACCTTATAACAGAGAGACTCTCAGTTTGATTAGAGTCTGCTATAAAGGAAGCATCCTATGTAATTTAATTATTCCATACACAGAACATGATCAATAATTTGCCAAAGAAAATTTCCTTTATTTTCCTCCAGATTTTTTCAAGTTGAGAGTTTTGAAAAATAAGCCCTGTTTTTTTTTAAATTTTTTAATCATTGACACATATTATTTAAACTGAAACTTGTAAATGCTATGCCCTAGTGAATACAGTAAAGCCATAAACTTTCAATTTATTGAATGCCCATGGTAAAAAAACTAAATAAAAATGAAATAAAAAATTCTGAAAATAGTATTTGCAGTTTCATATACTTGCTATTTGAGATTTCTCAGCACTTGTTAAATTAATTGAATAAAGAAATAAATCCTCAAAAATCTGAAAACACTTTTCAAATTTTTACCCCCCCCCCCTCTCTGCATGAAATAGAGATTAAAAATATATATATAGTATAACACAATATGAAAATAAATATAACAGAAACTAGGAATATGAACCCTATTTCTGGTCAAGCATTTTAATTAGCTGTTCAACCGTTTTAATTAGCTGTTCAAGCGTTTTAATTAGCTGTTCAACCGTTTTAATTGGCTGTTCAAGCATTCTGATTTGCCTAAACCATGAGAATATCAATATGTAGTAGGTATTGTTTGATCATCAGTCTGATCATGAACAAAAACCATTGTGCCTCATCTTGTGATTTTGTTAAGTTTAAAGGAAATCTTAAGATGTTCCTTTGTCAATTTCTTAACCAAATTGGAATTTTGCTCAATTCTTTTCATAATTAACATCATTTTGGCAATATCTGATAAAGGGAAATAAACACTAAATATGGTACTTTTAATTTGTGTAAATAATGTAAATGACAGAGAACATAAATTATCATATGCCATTGAGTGGAAAACTAGTCTGGTATCGCATTCCTAAATTCGTACTTGAGAAAGAAACATATTAACATGAATTAAGTTATTTACTATAATAAACATGCATGTATGCTTGCAGAAAAAATATCCTAATATACTATTGTTTAATAGAGGTAGATTCAAATCCTTACTTAAAAATAATTTTAATTCAGGTAAAATGATAATTTTTTGGAACGATACTAATTCAGGATGGTTGCAGGGGTTGAACTGTGTAATCATTGAACAAAACAAATTGTAACCATTTACATTTCAATGTGAAATGGTTGCAGTTTACAATGGTTTCAGATTACAATGATTGTATAGAAACGGTTGCGCATTCGTTGAAAAAGAGTTGACTTCGCTTGGTTGAACACAATGGTTGCACAATGATTGCTTATCATCGTACAATGGTTTTTCCTTTGATCTTGGTAGTTGAAACAATCATTATTCAATGATTGGTGGAAACGGTTTAAATTCGGACTTTCAAGGTTGAATTTTTTATAAGGGTAAAAAAATCATATCATAGAACAGTCTGCCCTCACTAGGTATTTTCAATAGTTCAATAAGTAGGTACCATTGAAGACCATATCATCAAACATTCAGATCATTGATTTTTACAAATCTGTCAGCTTGCCATTGATATATGCATGTATGTACAGTACTATAGAGTTGTTATCAATAACAACTTTATTGATAACATCTTTCAAGAGCAAGGCCCTCAAAAAGATTATAACATGTACATGAACATCTTGATGTCATTTTCAAGAGTCTACAAAACTTACTCTATTATTCCATAAAGTGTACTGAGAAGGCATGGTAGTAATATTAGAAAGAGAATAGAGGGGAGTGGTACATGGACTTTATGCAAGCTTTTTATACAGAGGTGCATCCCTTTACTCCAGTTTTTCAGAAATATTGCCAGAAAACTTAGAAGAAAATCAAAGGATTATTGTGAAATAAAGTCAAAGCTGTTGGAAAAGGGCCATAACAAGGAATGTTATATGCAAAATATATTATAACCTAATATAACTCTTATCTCATCTCTAGTTTTTGTTACCAATTTAAGCTCAAATACTGTAGAGGACCAGGTGCTTCGGTTCGGGACACTGGACAGAAAGGGTTAATATCGATCCGGTATCGGTACATAAATTCCTTCCCTAAAATGCATAAAAATGTATATAAATAGCGAGGAACATGAAATATTTTCCCTTACCTCATACGACTAAGATGTCACTTCTTTGCATTGAAAAGTGTTATTAGATATGTTAGCAAATACATCCATCTGCTCCAATAATCCAGTGAGAATTCCTCACTTCACAAGTTTTTGGTGAATTTCATAACGTCTTGGTTGCTTCGTGTTAATGGTCTATTAACGTCCTGGTTGCTTAAATGAAGAATTCTCACTCGATTATAGGAGCCCTTGGATGTATGTACTCGTGACTGATTCGCTATTCAGTATCGGGTGCTACTATTAATATAAGGGTAAAATATTTGGATACAAATTGAGCTCCTCCTCGGTGAAAATGACAAAAATAATAATTTCCTGCGACGGAAGTTCTCCATTTTGTTATTATAAAGATGTAACGTCTTTTATAACCAGGTGGGGACCAGTGATAACAGCATTTAAGGCATAACTTTTGAACTGAAAATGTCAAATTCAGTGCATCCTCTTTTGGTTGTGTGCTTCTAATTCCTTACATACCCCATCATGATAAACCATGACATCTCATTTCTTCTCAGCCCTGAGATTTCAGGTGAAACAGATGCTATGAGTATCAGAATATATATACCCCTAGAACAATATTTCATTTTAAACCTACAATACAAGGTAGAGAGATTGGGAGTAACTTGATTTCAAGGCATATCAACATCTATTGCATGATTAAGTTTGCTGGCAATACTTTATACTTTGCTTCCTGTGCTTTTCGTTCCTTCCTTGAATTCAAATGTCAACATTAAAGTATGATTGAACAATTTCAGTTCAAGCATGCAGATGGATTTTTCTAACATTTTATAAGCTAATCTTTTTCTAATACTATGTGTATATATTAATTGAGAGTCCTTTTTCTGTATTGTATATTTACAACAATAGAGTTGACTTGTAAAACTCTGTCTGATCAGTTAATGAAATGTGATTAGTGATGGGACACCGATCACCTCATTTCTGCATGTTTTTCTCGTATGACTATACATAAATCTATTTGTATATAAGATGTAAATCTCATTGGTGTATAGGTTGACACAAATAAGCAATAAGGGCAAATGGAAATCTACCAAGTTAGATATATACTAACATAGTAGAGACATTTTCTGTAACTGATCAAAAATTCACATTTTCACAGGAAAATTCAATCATAATACACACATATACATGTATATACCTTACATTTCATTTGCCTGTTATCCTAATTAAAATGATACAGCATAGCCTATATTTATTAATTCAAGGTATTAAGGATATTGTCCAGATTGTCATTTTCAAAAATTCTAAGTGGTCGTAGGTGTGTCTGTAGATAATTGTCCTTTCTTGTTGTTTGACGTCACTGTGCTAAGTATACAGCAGGTGGGATTATTTGTAGTTTAAATACATGTATGTAAGTTTAATTTGTTTTAAATTGAAGTTCATATCTTATATTTATTTGTGTATGGTTTCTACATTTTGAGGCTGAATTTATATGTAATCTGTAATTTCAGTTGTGACTGGATTTGAGACAAAGAACCGTTATGCGATCAAGAATTCTATGGGACAACAGGTGTACTTTGCTCAAGAGGAGTCTGATTGCTGTATGAGACAATGCTGTGGACCACAGAGGGGCTTCACTATGCACATCACGGACAACCTTGGCCAGGTAGGAATTTCAGAGTTTAAGAATTAGTGCTGACCTGCATAGTCAGTTCCCACGCTCAATCACTAGGTTCTTTCATAGAGGATAGGTCCGAAGCTTGATGAAGCAAGATGGCTGGCCTGTAGGACAATGCCATCTTAATTTTACTACAAATATGATTACAGATTGAACTGATTTCCTGGTATTTAACTGGTATTTCAGTAAAATAACACAATAGCCAGTCTTATACAGAAGACCTGAAATCCTTATGCCATCCTAGGTAAGATTGTACCCTGACTTTAACAGTTTAATCTTGCAGCGTTGTGCTCTGCATTCTTTTCTCTTACAGGTAAGAGAGATAAGTGATATGTACTGCATTTCAATGTAAGACTATTGCTGATATAGCATGAATTACAATGAGATTCTTATATCGACCTATGACACTCCAACTGTTATCATTATTGATTAATCCCATGGAACCAGGAAGTGGTTTATATTATTAATCTTTGTTATCGAATCTTTTTCTGAATGTATCTCGTACATGGGTATATTCTAGTTTAGTTACAAATACGTGGAGAAACATCTATTAATAAGATATTAATGAAAATGTAGGACACAATCACCCCGTTACAGCATATATTTTCATAGTAATTGTATGTAACAGCAAAAAATAACTTAAATTCTCGAAAACAAACAATGAGATTTCTTTAATTTTTTACCATGGATACAATAAGAAAATGTGCCAAACTTTTGATTGACATACACCAATGTTTGAAAATAAAATAGTCAATTTTTAGAATTGGCTAAGGTAGAAACAGTTACTTTGATATTTGCAATACTGTGTATATAGTGGTGTCTACTTCAATTCAATTCAATTTCAAAATAATTTATTTCAGTTTTCATTACAAAAATTACAACATTATACAGGCTGACTTGTTTTCATAGTGATTGTTGAACCAATGAAAGTATTGAAAATAACACCTTTATCATGAGTATATGTACTAGTGTTGTCGCGATGTGCCATAATCGTACATCGATGCATCGGCAATTTTCAGAAGTAAACATCGATGTACATCGCGCATCGCGATGTACATCGAGAAAAAGTCCTAGAAAAGTGCACTGAAATACCGAACGCTAATGCACTAAAATACAGAACGCTGGTTCATCCGGGAACTTCTAGAAACGGTGAAATGAAAGTAAAGTAATTTTTATTAGATTAATGGTTCATTTCGACTAGCTAAAACAGTTTTGAAGCGAAATAATATCAGAAAACATTGGGAAATGAAATAAGACATGAGAAAGTTCAGCGATTTGCTTCAAAATAAGATAAGAAAGGGTGATTTTTAGCAAATGAATTTTCTTTTAAAACATCGATGTTTTGTTTCAGACATCGATGCATCGCCAGAATCAGCTTTGGCGATGTATATCGCGATGTATCGATTAATCGCGACAACACTAATATGTACCACAATGTTTCCTCAATGTGTTCATCATTGTATGATCTCTTTTTATCAAAATATATTATTTTAGAACTCCGGAACAACCCAAGATTCCATATTGTTGGGTTACCCTTCTTTGAACTGAAGGTCAGCCAAAGGTCAAATCTCAAATCTAAGGTCATATATGAACTCCTGGCAACTTGTAAGTTGAAATTTGACCTTTTTTCAGATCGCTGAGCTCTTATATCTCAAAACTGGTGCAAAGTTGTTATAAGTTTAATTGCTAATATGTGTAGAACCTTTAGAGGAATCTTTATCCTGATTTTCCGCCAAAACTGTTCATTTGTAGTCTCAAAATTTGAGAAATTTAAATAACACGACATTTATGACCTAGTTTGACCTTGAACATTTTACTTTTTCAGAATGAATAATAAATGATGGTAATATTGACAAAATAAATAGGAGGCACAACTTTCTTTTAAACTGAAGAGCCCTTACTAGACGGGTAGGAAGGAGGGGTTCCCATGCACCCGAAAGATGAATTTTTTTAATGTACATTTTTGTAATCCTAATGGTCCAAACTAAAGATTTTTACATGTTCCCAGAATGAAATATTGTCCCATGGTATCCATTGGCGGCCATCTTGTCAGCCATCTTGAATTTTTGAAAGAGTTGATGTTAATTATCTCAAAGTACAATAACTTCCACAGTTTTGAGAATTGAAAGCTGTAAGTGGTACCAAAATGAAGCTATTATAGTATCCTATATTATCAGATGCAAAAATTATGCAAATTGCCTCATTTGCATAAAATGTGACATCATCAATCATAATTCTTGCCTCTTTACAACGGTATCGCATTATACCTTTCCGCCTGTGATCAGTCTTAGTCATTCATGAACATAAATGAATTTAAATATTTTGGTACATTAATTTTGAACATATTTGCAATTGAAAGTTTTGGAAAAACATTGTCAGACACATGATTATGTAACTGAAAAGGGGCGTGGCACTTCTTGCGAAAGAATTGATGTTAATCATTTCAAAGTACAATAACTTCCACAGTTTTGAGAATTGAAAGCTGTATGTGGTACCAAAATGAAGCTATTATAGTATCCTATATTATGAGATTAATAATTAAGCAAATAGTCTCATTTGCATAAAATGTGACATCATTAATCATAATTTTTGCCTCTTTACAATGGTATCGCACAATACCTTGCTGCCTGAGTGACCAGTCTTAGTCATCCATGAACATACATGAATTTCAATATATAGGTACATTAATTTTTAACATATTTGCAATTGAAAGTTTTGGAAAAAAATTGTCAGACACTAAGTTATAACACTTTACATGATTATGTTACTGAAAAGGGGCGTGGCATTTCTTGAGAAAGAGTTGATGTTAATCATTTGAAAGTACAATAACTTCCACAGTTTTGAGAATTGAAAGCTGTAAGTGGTACCAAAATGGAGCTATTATAATATACTTATAGAAAATGCAATAATTATGCAAACTTTCCCATTTGCATAATATGTGACAAGCTGTATCAATTTTGGGCTTTTTTCAATGGTTACGACCAATATCTCTCCCTCTGGGTTAATGTCTTGGTTATTCATGAGCATTTATGATTTTGAATATATAGGTACATTAATTTTGAACATACTTGCAACTGAAATTTTGGAAAAACTATTAGAAATTAAGTGTTGACACTTCACACGATTATGTAACTGAAAAGGGGGGGGGGGCACTTCTTGTTCAAAATGTTAACTTCTAAACACTAATGTCAACTTCAAAGGCTGAAGCTGCTCTAGCAGAGTCATGTAGATAGAGCTCAATGTTGCTTATTGGTGAAATGTTGGCCAAATTTTGCAGCTTGTGTGCACCGCTTACGAGTACATGATGTGTTCATTATGACAGTGTAATTCCAATATGACAGCACAATACAAGTCAGGCTATTTTATTGTCACATATGCAAAAGTCGATCTGATGAGACATGTTAGAAGTGGTAGTGGTTAATAGTGCCCAGATCAAAGAAACGCAAGATAGATATTGAAGATAGGCCCAGATCAAAGTATGGACATCCTCAGCCTCAATCATGACGCCATCTGTATTGTCCATCAGTGGGAGCTGTAACCCAAATACTGAGTATATGATTTAATGTACGTGTCATTTAGTTGCCATGCACTTGGGGCAGTTGGCAGTTTCTTCCTTGCCCCAAAGTCTGGGGTTTGATGGAGTTGAGACCAGGCCAAGGAAAGTTCTTAATAGGAAATTGAACTCCCCTCGGTCCATGGACCAAAGGTCATTCCATTTCAAGAATTGCTGAAGTGAGGGTTCCCAGGTAATGTCGTAAATCTGGAAAGGCCACTGAAATTGGGGAGTAATGTCATAACACCCCGATATATGACTTGAGTCAATGGCTTTAAGCCACTTGTCCAGGTCCCTTGAGACTTCAGCTGTATTGTTCAAACCACGCAAGGTTTTGTCATAGTTCTTCTCTAGACATTTGATTCTTTTATCATGCACTGTTGGTATTTGCTTGCCCTTTATTTTTGAACTGCATTGGAGAAAGCTTGCCATCAACCAAAACCATGCTTCTTGACCTGGTTGGCTTTTAACTTCATGCAAGTCCAGTTTGCCATTCTTTCCATAGCTAATAGAACCCATCTGGTACTCACTACTGAACGGGTCATAACTGTGATGTCATCCATGAAAGCTCTGTATGGTAGGTGTTTTGCACCTTCATTTGCTTGTGGAACCTTACACTGCATCATCCCTGCATTTAGCAGTAAGTTCATGGATGTTACGAAGAGAACTACTGATACAGTGCAGTCTGCCACTATGCCTTTCTCCGAACTCTGCTAATTAGTGGTATAATTGCAAAATGTATTGTGCAACTTCAAGGAGTTTGTGTTTCCCATTGTCAGATTGACTACTAGATTGGTACGTGAAAGTGAACTTGTACCTCTAGTATCAGTTGGTGAGGGACACTAGGTAGGCCTTCTGTTCAGCCAAACTACTGATTCTCTTTCTTGGCTTCCTTCACAAGTTGGCTTATGCTGCTATATGTACCCCATGATGTCTTGGGAGACCACTTTTCTGAATGCTTGGCAGGCCACTAGGAAACAACTTCGAGGCTTGACCATAATGGCCCAGAAGATCTTTCCCTCAGCATCCAATAATGATGTCTACCTGAACTGGTTCAGTCGCTCAAATTTTAGCTCCTTTGGAATGAAGCACCTTTCCGCCTAAGTCCAAGTCTTTGCTAGATTTTTTTTGTTCTGGATGCTTGTTAGCAATCGCCATAGATGTATTAACAGCTTTCCGCAGTTCTTGTAGACCCTGTATGTCACACCTTTTAGACCTGAGGCTGAGCCTTCCTGATGATTGTTCAAAGATTTTCAAAGAATGTCTTCCTGGTCCTATGCTTCTCTTTTCCTGAGTGTTTCTATCTTTGGAAGAAGAATCTTTGGATGACTAAGATGAAGTAATCTCTTAAGAAGCATCTGTTGGAGCTCTCTTGCTAGTGATGAAGCCGTCCACTAACACTGCCGGCTTCATCTCTCCTTCCCAAGAGAAGCCTTTGTCTTCTACTTGGCCCAACACAATGGTGTTTCACAGATGTTTCCTCCACTCCTTGTCCTCGCATCTGGGATGGAAATCGTTCTAACTTGGATAAGAGGTAGCATAGTGAAGAGGCTGGGCTCTGCATCCCACTTCTATTGGTTGCATAACTGCATACCACCCTCTTGTCATCAAATAGGTCTTGGATTTTTAAGCTGATGAGATATTTTAGTTGGTCTTCTGAAGGTACCATGAGCTCATTGAAGATGATGGTCCTACTGTGTTTTGACATCAGCACTGAGTTTTTGGAAGAGGTCACTTGAGAGTCCAGTCGGATGGATGTCTTGGATAACACATTGAACTGAGGTACAGGCTTAATACATATTGAGTTAATAATTATATAGCTTTAACAACTTAATACTGTGGGTACCCTTTTCAGTTCATTGCCTATCCTAAAATGATATGGGGATATGTGGTCATTCGTATCTGTACAGTACTTAGTTCAAAAGTGATACAGCTTATATATCTTTGGCTGAAATTTAAATGTCTGCCAAACAGACCAACAAGAATTTCTGAACAAGCTAGGAATAAGGGACATCACTGGGCTACTTTCTAAAAGTCAAAAGCTATATTTTACACCCAGGGGGTTCACTATATATAAACCTTGACGGGGGTACCTCTTTTAACATTTGATATGGCATTGGATCCAAATTTTAGGATCTGGAATGAGAATGCCCCCAAAATATGACTTTTGAGGTATGACAATGGTCGGATTTTTCTACTTTGTGGTACAAGAATGGTCATGGAGAATAGGTTACCTCTCACTTGTGGTATGGGATTGGTCTAGTTTTTACAAATGTCCTTAATTTGAGGTTGTTTTGGATCATTTTCCTAAAAGTTCTGCCTTCTTCCAGGGGCTTTAGACATTTTGCATTCCCTTGGTCTTATATTTTTGGGATATTTGGAATGGCATTAGTCCTATATTTGGACATTTGATATAGCATTGGTCTTATATTTGGATATTTGGTATGGCTTTTGGGCATTATTTTGGTTGGTATGGGAACACATTGAAATTTGAGATTGGTATGGGAACATAATGATATCTGAGGGCTCAGCCTAGGACCCCTACAAAATTGTGTATTCAGTGAACCCCTGGGTATTTTACAAATGATACATTGACTATATAATAACATTACAGATTTTCAACAAGTACCACGCCCCTTTTCAGAACAATAATCATTTGAAAGGTCATACCTTAATTTCTGACAATGTTTTTCTAAAACTTTCAATGCAAATATGTTCAAACTTTCAATTGCAAACATGTTTAAAATGAATGTATATATTTAATATCTTTTTATTCATGAGAGACCAAGACTGGTCACTCAGAGGAAAAGGCAATATGCATTACGTTGAAAAAGGGCAAAAATAATGATTGATGATGTCATATTTTATGCAAATATGGTAATTAACATAATTATTGTATCTTATAATATAGGATATTGTGATAGCTTCAGTTTGGTACCACTAACAGCTGTCAACTCTCAAAACTGTGGAAGTTATTGTACTTTGAAATGATTAACATCAATTCTTTCGCAAGAAGTGCCACGCCCCTTTTCAGTTACATAATCATGTGTCTGACAATGTTTTCCAAAACTTTCAATTGCAAATATGTTCAAAATTAATGTACCTATATATTTAAATTCATTTATGTTCATGAATGACTAACACTGATCACTCAGGCAGAAAGGTATAATGTGATACCGTTGTAAAGAGGCAAGAATTATGATTGATGATGTCACATTTTATGCAAATGAGGCAATTTGCATAATTATTGTATCTGATAGTATAGGATACTATAAAAGCTTCATTTTGGTACCACTTACAGCTTTCAATTCTCAAAACTGTGGAAGTTATTGTACTTTGAAATAATTAACACCAACTCTTTCAAAAATTCAAGATGGCCGACAAGATGGCCACCAATGGATACCATGGGACAATTTTTCATTCTGGGAACATGCAAAAATCTTTAGTATGGAACTTTAGGATTACAAAAATGTACATTAAAAAAATACATCTTTCGGGTGCATGGGGACCATACCTTCCTACTAGACTATACCCTAGAACTTTCAACCACCATTGTTATTATCCTGGTTTCAAGTTTTCAATATGCATTCATTGTTGATAATCAATCAAACATTGTATTGTAAGTGAAATTCAGTCTCTATTTATAGAATTATTGAAGCTTTATTCTCCAATTGAAGATGAATAATTTATTTTATCAATAGTGAGTAGTGACTCATTCTCACACTGTCATTAATTAGTAATTATCCCACCGAACAAAGTTCGAGGGGGATATAGAAAAGCCGTCCGTCCGTTCGTCCGTCCGTCCGTTCGTCCGTCCGTTCGTGTGTCCGGGCAATAACTCAAATACCGGTTGACAGATTTCATTCAAATTTTATAGGCTTATGCCTTATGGGTGTAGGACCTCTGCTCGAGAAGGAATTTTCAATATGGCCGCTTAATTCAAAATGGCGGCCATTTTTCGGAAAAAATATAATCTTTATTAAATCAAATACTAGTGGATGGATTTGGTTCAAATTTTATATGCTGTTGCCTGGGTACAAAGGAGCCTTGCTCAAGAAGACATTTTCAAGATGGCCACCAAATTTCAAAATGGCGGCCATTTTCGTAAAAATACGTTATATTTGATAACTCAAATACCATTTAATGGATTTGGTTCAAATTTTAGATGCTAATGCTTAGGGACATAGGAGCTCTGCTCGAGAAAGGATTTTCAAGATGGCAGCTAAATTTCAAAATGGCAGCCATTTTTCATAAAAAACGTTATCTTTGATAACTTAAATACCATCGAATGGATTTGGTTTAAATTTTAGCAGCTGATGCCTAGGGACATAGGAGCTCTGCTCGAGAAAGGATTTTCAAGATGGCAGCTAAATTTCAAAATGGTGGCCATTTTTCGTAAAAAAACATTATCTTTGATAACTCAATTACCATTGAATAGATTTGGTTCAAATTTTACATGATGATACCTAGGGAGACAGGATTTCTGCTTCAGAAGGGAATTTCAAGGTGGTAGCTAAATTTCAAAATGGCCGCCATTTTTCATAAAAGAACGTAACCTTTGATAACTCAAATACCAAATGACGGATTTGGTTCAAATTCTATATGCTGATGCCTAGAGACAAAGAAGTTCTGCTCAAAAATAAATTTTCAAGATGGCCACTGAATTTCAAGATGGCCGCCAATTTTCGTAAAAAAACGTAATTAATGATAACTCAAATACCAGTGGATGGATTTGGTTCCAATTTTATATGCTGATGTTTAGGGAAAAAGGAGATCTGCTTCAGAAGAAATTTCAAAGGCATTAGCTGGATTTCAAAATGACTGCCATTTTTCATTAAAAAAGTAATCTTTGATAACCCAAATACCATTGGATGGACATTCTCTGCTAAAGAAGAAATCTAAAGATGACAGCTGAATTTCAAAATGGCAACCATTTTTCATAAAAACATAATCTTTGATAATTCAAATACCAGTGGATGAATTTGGCTCAAATTTTTTATCAAAACATGTTTTGTTCGGTGGGATTTGCTACTCCGTGGAGTTGCTGTTTTTCTAGTTAACTGATTTATTTTAAGTAATTAATCTGAAGTTCATGTAGCAAGCCCGTAGCCAGAATTTGCCAAGGGGGTTCACTTTTGAAAAATTCCAGAGGGGGGTCACTTTTGACACCTTTGGCCCAAAATGACCAATATACACTTGAAAGTGCTCAAAATGGTGAAAATTGCATGATTTTGACGAATTTTTGGCCAGGGGGTGGTTTGTTCGAACTACGGGCTACGAGCCTGTGTAGTCTCAATTCTCTTGATCCCCCTTTATCCTCCTCACCTCTTTTTGATGCCATATGAGGTGTATAGTTGGGTCAAAGGGCTTGAAGCAAGACTAAACTTTCATTTGTCTTTCAGGAGGTGATCAGGATCCAGCGAGAGTTTAAATTTTGCGCTGGCTGCTGTTGGTGTGCTAACTGCAACTGCTGTGCCATGGAGATTGTAATTGAGTCCCCTCCTGGCCAGGTTGTTGGCTCAATGAAGCAAAGGTTAGGGTTTAATAATAGTACATGGAATTAAGAGGAGACCAATATTTTGATATATACCCACAAGTAATTATGCCCAAGGAGATGTTTGATATCCACACATGGATACAAATGATATCCCTCATGCATAAGATGTCCTTTCATAATCATTTTTTCTGTTTATTCTGTTTTTCAATGAATCACATTGAGTAACCTCTTAAAGTCTTTATTTTATTGATCTTGTTACATTATGTATTTTATGGAGATTTATACCTTTTAAAAATTGAATAACTCAAATTCATAATTGAAATAAACTGAAATTATCAGCAATGAAATGAAATATCCCTGGAATTTTTCGAAATTATACGAGGGTTGATCCAAAAGTTCCGAACCGTTGGCTTTAAAAATCTTAATATCCAATGATTATTGTTCATATTTTGCCATAAACACCCCACATATAGTACTTTCATTTTGTGTAAAAATAATCAATAAATCTGACCAGCAACATAGGTGTCTGGTTACCATAGCAACATGATCACAGGGTGGGTGGAGCTGGAATAAATTAAACTTTATTCCAAATTTCAGCAATTGAAGAGCTATTTCAGATCATTTCAACTCGTGGAGTTTCACCCCCATAAAATCTCATAAAAAAAGATAACTATAGCTTATAAGTACATTCACCTTCAAAAAAAGTCACCACCATGTGCTACACATTTCCCACAGCGTTTCAACCAGTCCTGAAATACATGGTGAAGTTCACCTTTAGCTGTAGCATCAACGCTATCAGTAAATGCCTTGGATAAAGTCAACTTCATCATCAAAATGGATACCATGCAGTGGTGTATTGACCTCAGTAACATTTGAAAGTCACATGGTGCCATATCAGGAGAATATGGTAGATGGGGCTCTAGTTGGGCCTGTAAGCACTCGTGTATTGCCTCTATTGTAACATTGGCTCTATTGGCTGGGGTATTATCATGGTGAAAATTCCCAAGGAGATCTGGTCGTTTTTTTCTCATGGCATCTTTAACATCTTCCTTCAGCACATGGGACACATTTTTAAACTGAGTAAGTGCCATACCTAATTTATTGACTCAAAATAGATCAGCATACCTCATAAAAGTAATCTAGTTTACAACTTAATAAATGAATGATATGGTTTTGTAACTGACTCTTGAATAATAAGCTCCATTGACGGTGACTCCAGTTACCACAGAGTAAACCAGGATAACTGTGTCGTACTCTTGCTCCACCTACCCTGTTGTCATGTTGCTATAGTAACCAGACACCTATGTTACTGGTCAATTCCATCGCTTATTTTTACACAAAATGAAACTACTATATATGGGTTGATCATGGCCAAATAAGAACAATATTCATAAAGTATTAAGATTTTTAGAGCAAACGGTCAGTACCTGCAAGTGGATACAACAGGAAGAAATCTGGTATAAGTCTGAAATTATTTAACAATGCATATCGAAAATATCTTGAGTATTCATTATGTTTACAAAATGTTTACTCAACGGTATATTATAACAACTGATGATAAAATGCCTGAATACTTTTGATTTTAGCTGCAGTTCATGGGTCCCAAAGTATGATATCATGGATGCTAATGAGCAGGTCATATTCAATGTTACTGGACCTTGCTGTGTCTGTGATGGGCCTTGCTGTACCGCAGACCAGGAATTCTTGGTAAGTATTCTTCTGGTACTAGCCATCATTTTTGTGACCATTGTTTCCAGTTTTGTTTCTGTATAATTGTTATATTTTTCAAGATGTCTCATTTAGTTCCGTAGCCCTGAACTAAATGTTGATGCTACATATGCAGTATGGTTATGATTTGCTTGTTTGAATAATGGAATTCTTTTTTGGTAGCAATAGCTTTTTCATTTTGAAAGTAATTGTGCAATATAATCAGATGCCAATATTAAGAGAAAAAATAGCATTACATGTATCTCATATATAGAATGAGGTGTATAATTCAAGGGTAAAAATCTTCAAATTGTCAGTAGAAAGATGACCCATTATGATTTGTATATCACACAGATTGGTGGTAATAAACCTCATTGACAGATTTAACAGATTTTTATTCTATTTCAGGTGACATCCCCAAGTACTGGATCAGAGGTGGGGAAGATCAGTAAACAATATGCTGGCTTTGCAAAGGAAATGTTCACCTCTGTGGCCAACTTTGGAGTTTCATGTAAGTTTTGAAACAATGAAAAACATTTCAGCCATTTGGATAGTGACAGTGTTCAGGGGCGTAGCCAACTTTCGATCAGATCAGGGGGGTGCGATCGCCAAAAAATTTTGGTATTCAGTCAGGGGTTGCGATTTTGGCATAAACCAAAAAATAAGATTTATTTTGAATATTACAAAAATTGATGCAACTTCCTTCAAACTTGAGCTAGAGTTGTTAGGATTGCACCCATCGCACCCCTGGCTACGCCTATGGTGTTGTGCCACTATAGGTTTAGGGTATGAGTTGTATATATGAGGTGAGGGTTTAGAGTAGGCTGAACCACTAATAACCACCCAAGTTCTTTTCCAGCTTTCTGATAATTTGTAGAGAAAAAAATAAAATCTCCGATCACTCAAATTGAACCAACTCTTTAACCAACATAACAATTCCAATAATTTCAGTTTCACTAAACATTTATTCACCATTATTGGAATCATCCTCTGAATGCAGGAGTGTATGGATCATTCACGCTGTCTGATTTTTGGCATCAATTTGGAGATGTATTCATGCAAATAAGCAGTTGATTCAATCTTGCTGTTGGTTATTTCTAGGTGCCAAACATAACATACCGTTAGGTAAATGCTTCCCAGTCATACATAAAATGTACATGCTCGTGAGATAAAATATGAATACATGTTATGTACTTTGTTTCAGTTCCCATGGACTTGGATGTCAGAATGAAAGCTGTGATGATTGGGGCTACCTTCCTCATTGTAAGTTTGATTATGATTTGCACTAAATTTTACACAATTGCTTTCATTAAGTGGATGGGTTAAAAGACACTTTTGTTTATGTAAATGTAAGGTTTCCATTTAAGATTGCAAGGGGGGTTATTTTAAGGCATTCAATGGGGAAATGCACATAGCAAACAAAAACACCCTAGTATTGCATCATTTGAGTAAAGTAGCATTGGATTATATGCATTAGTCTTATTGTGTAAAATTCCTGTCTTAATTAAAAGAACTAATACTATTCTACACATATATTTTCAGGACTTCATGTTCTTCGAGAACAAGAACAACAGCTAATTTCCATATATGGACTCGATCGAGAAACAACCAGGCGATGTCTTATGATAGATTCTGAATTGTGTTTAGGATAACATTTTATTTCCTTTCATATGAATTGACTTTTTTAACTTGACTATTTTTACTGACTATTTTTACTCTTCATAAATTGAGACACGAGAGGTCCAGAGATCCTTTGAGGGGTCATTTATTCTTAATCTGAATAAAAACATTACTACAGCTGTATCTTTAAATGGGTAATTAGGTTCCTCTATGATTATTCAATTGGCTACATCATGATCCCCTATTTTTTATGAGTACCCAAGCAAGCTTTGCCATTCTTCCATGAGTACCTAATCCTTTTTTTACAATGAATTATATTTGTTACTATACTAGCCTTTTGTGATATTGTGAAACTTCAGGGGAGAGTGTTGAAAGTCAGGACATGTTAATCTGTACAAAATCCAATGAAATACACTATACTCTACCATATAAAATATTATATATAGGATGTACAAGGTGACGTGTAATTTGCATACATGCAAATACAATACATCCAGTAGATTAAATTATCACCTATTTTTATATTCTTGGTAGCATATTTTAACTATGTTTGTAATAGAGTATTCCTATATTTTTTATTTTAATCATCTCTATCCGCTGAATTTTGAATTGTAAACTTATATTTTATAGTGTACTATTATATTCATGTGTACTTTTGTATGATTATTCTCTCTTAGCAGTCTAAATCATTTCACTGTATTTGCAAGTGTGATCTGATATTCTAAGAGAACATGTGATATCTCATCCTCAGACTCAAAGATTGTGCTTGAAATATATTGTCCTTAGACAGCTAAGAGTAATCTTAATCATCAACAGTTCGTAAACAGATATTAATGTTTGTATAAATGTTTTCGTAGATATGATATTCTAATGAGACTAACATTGCTGCCCTTCAAAATCTTGTTGTATTAAATGAGCGAATGTCTGATATACTTCTTTACTTTCTGTATTTTATTCAGAGTTCTATTTATTTCAAGTGAGGAGATCATATTTTTATACTGCTTTTTAGGTGCAGAGTAAAAACAATCGTCCATTTAGCACTGCCTTACTGTAGTTCCATGAGTAATTTTTATGAAATTCTAACAATGTTTCTGTCATTTGACATGTTTAATATTACATTTAAAAAATATGAATCCTATTTCAAAGAAATAATATTCTTGCTAAATAGGTTCATTATAAACCTTACACTGTAAATAGGAATGGCTTTTCTAGTTTAGGGTGGCAGACATATTATATTATATACACCCAGAGTGACCATCTTAATGAATTCCAATGTTATCTTTTAATATCATCTCGTCTTACATTTTTGTCGTATAACACAAAACCGTAAAGGGGTTGGTGGGAACTAATTTAGTCTGTACTTCAGGTGTGTGAGTGATACAGGGTTTAATTCTAATTATTGTTTAATTACCTTAATGAGCTGCTTTGTATGGTAAGCTTTATTTAATAGAAGCATTCTTCCATCAGTTTTAGTATTCTGAAAGGTTAATACTTGAAATGTGTCATGCTTTGTTTAGACTCTGGTTAAAATCATTGTAGGATATGGATTTTTCATTGTAGAACTGCAAAAACAAGGCATTTTTCATAGCAAGAAAATAGATGTCATAGCAATGATGAATATTACCCAAACAAAATGTTTTATTCTATGGCAGAAAATAGTGCAAAACCATTTAAGTGAAACAGCTATTACAGAAACATAGAATGAAATATTGCTTTTTATTATTCCATTGTTATGGCCTGTTTTGCATTGTTATGAGCTTTGTTTTGATTAAGGTTGGTCAAGTGTTGTCATTTATGTAAAGGCTTTCATAATTGTTATATCGGGTGGAAACAAGTTAAAAACCAACTTGGCCTACCTTAAGAATAAGAATTAGCAAAGGATTGCAGTTAAGCTAAAAGTATAATAAGATCCAATTTCTTGAATTTCCTTTTTCATCTTTCTGTTATGTTTGATGTACATAAAACTGTCTATTAAAGAGTGAAAAATAAATATTAGAACCAATTATACAATTACATCTTTTTTTCATTTAAACAACTCATTTTACCTGATGAGAAATATTAACTGATGACCTATTACTGTACTTAATGTGAAAATACTATCTAATTGTGGCAAGTTTCTGCATGTGTTCATGTTACCTAATGAGATAATTTTAGCCAATGTGGCAATGTTACTACATGTGTTCATGTTACCTAATGGGACAATATTACCTGATGTGGCAATGTTACTACATGTGTTCATGTTACCCGATGGGACAATATTACCTGATGTGGCAATAGCACTACATGTGGCTATGTTACCCAATGAGACAATTTTACCCATTGTGGCAATGTTACTACATGTGTTCATGTTACCCAATGGGACAATATTACCTGATTTGGCAATGTTACTACATCTGTTCATGTTACCCAATGGGACAATATTACCTGATTTGGCAATGTTACTACATGTTGCTATGTTACCCAATGAGACAATGTCCCCTGATGGGACAATTTATCCAATGTGACAATGATATCATATGTGACAATATTACATGATACAACAATGATATCCAAGGTGACAATTTAACCCAATGTGACTGTTACCCAATATGAGAATACTACCTAATGAGACAATGTAACCCAATGTGACAAAACTACTTAGTGAGACAATTACCCAATGTGACAACATTACCCAATGAAAAAAATGTGACATTGTTACCCAATGTGACAAAAACTGTGAAGACAACCCAATGCATCAGTCGCAAAGAAGACTAAATGAAGTTGGCAACATAAGTTTTCAGTATGTTATACACGAAGACCCATATACATGTAAATTGAATGCTTTAAGGATCAATTTCCTGAGACTGGTTGAAATAATGAACATGTCGGTTAACATTAATGTATAACATGGGAGTACAGTAAAACCTGTTTCATGCAAAAACCACTTGGACTAACCAAAAGACTGGATAAGCAGGTGTCCCCATTTTAAGGTTCTCTTAATATGAGACCGAGAAAAAATGTTCACATTGATAAGTGTTCGATAAGACAGGTGGTCAGATATGCAAGTTTAAAGAGACGTTCACATACGCAGGTTTTACTTTGTCATGTCAAACAATCATTGTTTTATTCAATGGTTTAATGTTGCCGATGGGCAATGTTAATGTTCATCAGTCCATAATGGGGTCAAATACATCACTTACCTGTGATTGAATATATTCTTCAACAAGACTTATACTGTTGCATTAAAACAGAAAACTAAACAAACATTAGGCCTACAATAATTATAGACAATACAAAAAATGTATGGAGGTATCTAGTCATGAGAACGATAATTGAATGATTAAGTACATGTTAATTATTTTTGGAGTTTCTGGCTGTGCAAAACATGAACTAGAAAATGGATAATGATGAGATTTCTTTGTAGATTTTCATTTTCGAACTGTATTTGGATGATTCTGATTGGGGCTTGTATGATAATGTTAATATACTTAAGGATGGATATTGATATAAGGACAGATATCGATGAAAGGAATGGTATTGGTGTAAAAAAGGGTATTGATATTCGATTTAGGAAGGATAAAGAAGAAATGATGGCTTTAGAGGTACCCAAACTTCAAGAATATCAACACCAAATACAAACCCATATCAATGAAATCAGGAAGGAACACATTGAGAAAGTATGCAAAGAGAATCCATATTTACAACATCTGAAAGTGGACATGAAAAGAAACATTGCAGGACTGGAGATACCATTCATTTGGTGCAGAATCCCCAAAACTGGAACAACTACATTTTATAGGATATTAAAAACTATCAACATGGAATCAGAGGCTAAAATGATCAATCCATATGCTATTAAGGGTTTAGATGCTCGGGTTGATCAAGAGAAATATTTTCAAGAACTGAATACCTCACTTTATAAAGAAATTCAAAATTATACCAAAATTCTGATTACTCGAGATCCAATCTCCCGTCTAATATCAGCATATTTTGACAAATTCTTCAGTATTAAACCTCAGTTTTGGTGTCTTAATCGTGTAAAAGGCTTTCAGATGAACAGAACTCAGGAATCTCCCAGATATTGTCCAGCATGTAATATTACATTTACTGACTTTCTAGGCTTTATTGCGAATGATACCGAGGACTTTGATAACATTCACTGGACCCCTATGTACAAACTGTGCAACCCATGTGGATTAATACAATATGATATTATTAGTTATTTAGAAACATACAAACAAGATGTGTTATATTTCCTCCATGAAATCAATGCCCACATTGAAAGTCCTTTCAAGTATATGTCTGATGAAGAAACTGATTTGGATATTATAGCCAGAGAAGTGGACATCTTAACACTTAATGCAAATGAAGCATTTGAAACATGTGGATATACAATGAAATATTTGATAGCTCGTGTGTTCAAGGGTTTAGTATCCAAGGGTGTGATAAGCCAGGATGCCTTACTCCCTTACCTTGGGGAGCCTGATGTATATTACACCAGTGAAAACATAAAACACCTTCTCACCAATGTGTATCTCAGCTATAAAGGATATAAAGTGACACACAAACAACTGAGAAAAAACATGTTAAAAGATATACCTGATAAAATATTAGATAGGATTTTTGACATCTATAAGTATGATTTTGAAATGTTCCAATTTGACACCAGTATTAAAAAATAATAAAAAACAATAGTTTGTATGTACACTCCCCTCCAAAAGCTTAGCAACACATCCTCCCATTTGGAGATTGATGTAAAATTACATCTACGAATCTTTTCATTGAAAATGTGACTTCTAGGTCAGGGAAACTCCCCATCCTATCTTATAACTAGACATGACATCATTTCAAAATCAGTCATTGGAAAGTATGTTTCATTCAAGTGGTCATTGTCACACATTTTGTAACGCGATAGCAGAGCATTTTAGTAAGGAAGGATTGTTGGCTTGAAATTAAAAGAACTTGGAATTGAATCTCAAACTCTAGATCATGTAACCAACCTGTGTAAGGGTTTAGGGAAACATCACTAGTGTATCAAAGTTTTAAGTTTTTCATTACAGGATGAGGGTATTCATAATAAATCTTCTTGTGTTCAATCCATCATTGGGTGTTGGGCTTCACTCACCAGCGCTTATGTGCATTTCACACCAAAACACAAACGGTAAGTGAACTCTACACAATCTACATGTTCGCAAAAAATAAAATACTGTTTGAAAAATTCTCTAACATCTTTCTCAAAATTTTAAAAGTATAGACTGTGCGCTTGCGGAGCTATTCACACACATGGGGTTTGTCTTTAAATGGAACAAGTTTAGTAAATTATTAATTGGAGAGAAATCACAAAGCAAATTGTTGCCCCAAAAGTTGGGGAACAAGAAATATCGATGACAAAAAGTCTGCAAAAAGTCTTTAAACTCACCAAATTAAATAGTGTCAAGTTAAGCCAAGTCAAGGTATCAAGGGTGCCTTCAATATTTGGGATAACCATATTTACTAAAAGAAACTGTATGCCTTGATTGCAAATATATACATGTGTTTGACTGTGGTATGTCAAGACATTCCTCACTTTCTTGTGCACCATGCCCAAAACATAAGTTTCAGAAATTCTCTCTATGATTTAAACAATTATATCTACAGTATTTTGTTTTAATTTTGATAATATAAAATAAACAAAATTTTTGAAAATATAAACATTATTTCTATATTCCATATATCAACATTTGGCATTAGAGGTTCAGCATTCACTATATTGCCATATAAGTTAGCAGACCTCTCCATATTCCATAAAAGGTAGCAGAACTATAGATGTCATATCATACAAGGATAACTAGTATCTATGTATTTAGAGTAGTAGATCTGTATACCTTACAAGGTAGAAGATGTCTCTATATATATCTCTATAAGGAAGTAGAAGTCTCAAGTCTATATAAGGTAAGACAATTATTCATGTCATATAATGAGGACTATCTATTTGTCTGTACAACTTTTAAGTTTGCAGAACTATCCTAATATGTTACCATAAAAGGTAAAATTTTCACACACCACATAAAGTAGTAGAACTATTCATATACCACACAAAGTAACAATTTAATTGTTATCTGAAGGAATTCTTCTTTGATGTGATAAGATACTTAAATATCATGGTTCCAATATTGTCCACATGGTTCTATTGTTCAATCTGTGTTCAAGTTCCTATACTTTTAGACTGCTGCTACATACTACTTCACCTGGAAAAATAGATTAAAATATGATCAACATTTACTCTAATATTAACAGTGTCGGCAACACGCTAATGAAACAATGAAAATGATGAAGTCCTTACATGTACGTATCTGAAAATGACTAAGTTCAGCTGATAAATCATCTTAAATTGTCTAATTGTCAGCATTTCTGGTTCATGCAAAAAGTTTTAGGCTATGATATTCTGTTTTCCTAGTTATAAGAAATAAGTACTGTGACTGTTGAAATTTTGACAATTGAAAAAGCAGAATTCTTATTTAAGATGTTTATATACCAGGGGACATAATGGCTCAGTATATTTGATATTAATGTACATGTATGTCATTTATAAGTATTATAAATAAGACAGGTCCCATAACTGAGCATTGAGGTACACCATACTCAAATGTACTTTCACTGGATATGTATCAAATTTCTGTAGTTGTAAATTGGTCAATTGAGACATTAAGTTGAGTGCTTTTTCCTGAAACCATATTGTTATAAGTCTAAAATTTCATATTTTTCTCTAAATATTGTCACCTTATATTTGCATGGACAATTTTTTGAAGCAAATTTGAAAATAGAGATTGGTCTGTGGTTGTTGAATTTATGTTTTAATCCTTTCTGACATATTGGCATTACCCTAGCAATTTTCAAAGCACCGGGAAAGAAATCAGAAGTAATTGACAAGTTAAATATCTGAATATATAGCCTCTAAGTTTATTTTCTCAATTATGTACAATATCATACTTTACACAATTACATGTGCACTTCTTATATTTCACAAATCATTGTAAATGCCATTATGTGGCACCTAATACTCCCTCTTGGGGGTCATAGCCACTACAACCTGTATATATGTTACATTGATTTTAATAAAAAAAATAAAAATAAAAAAAATAAAAATAAGGAGATGACATTATAATTCATTTAATAATTTCTTTTTATATCCTATGAATTTTGTTTTGTTTTGTTTTTGTTTTGTTTGTTTTTACATTTACCAGAAATAAGAATCCCAAGAGTAAAAACATATACTTTAAAAAGCTAATCTGATCCTAGATTGACCCAAAGTGAAGAGATTGAAAGGCTGAGAACTGTGGGTGGGGACTTTAAAGTTATGATAGCTATAGTAACATGATTAATTGCACGAAATTCTGTTTTGTATTCTATTCTATAACACACTACTATACCTTGCATTAGGTGTTCATGAGCAACCCATTTGGCTTATTAGTAATGATTATGTATTTGTTTTTATTTGTCTGTTCCTTATGAATGGTTTATCGGTTGAAAATTAGATGCTAGTAAGGCACTTTCAAAAATATATAAAACAATTCAATTAGACAAACAAAGTATCTTATGCATTTCTAGGTGTTAGGTATAGTAGTGTGTATAAGTAGACATAAAATTACTTTCATAAAAATGTCGAGAAATTAAATCTCTTTTAAGTAACCTGTGAATAAGGTGTTATTCCTAATAGTACACGAAATTCAATAAGGCACACATAGGAGAGAAAGTTTATACATTTCAATAAGTTTACATCATGAGTTCAATATTAGAATCATCAAATGTGAGTATACACTGTATATCTATTAATAGTTTGTATATTAAATGAAGAGTTAAGAGTATTCCCAACTCTGTTCTGAGTACACATGTTTGGTGCATAATTATAAATACGAAAAACAGATGAATAGCTTGTAATAAATTAAAACATGATTGAATAATTTTAGAATAGCATATGAACCTTTCATCAGGAATTTATCACAAGGTGATTCAAATTACCACTTTTATAAATGTAGTCTATCATTTAGTTAATATAGTGTAGTAGTGTCTTGAGTCAAGACAGCCTAGTTTGTACATAGACTAATGTGTCATGTTTTGATACAATCGTCAATAAAAGAAATATATATTATTGTAGATGAAGGATATTCCTAAGATGTGGTTGAGGAAGTTTGCAACGGTGATGCTGGCATTCGAGAGTGTGAAGAAGGATGGACATATCGGCAATGACTGCGCAATGAATATTGCAGACCGTATTATCAAAATAGGTGACATACATACATTGAATATACAAGTCAGTTTTCATTATTTCTTGTACAGGATGACATTGAGCTCAGGGTGATCATCATGAATTCTGGTTGCAATTCAGGTTGCAATTTGGGTTGCAATTCTGGTTGGATGTTTCACAATCTTTCTTTCTGCTTCATGGATTTCATGAATTGACCATGTAATTTCTTTTGTCTCAGAATTATTTTAAAAAGTACCATCTCATTTTCTTGTTGTCACAGATATACTGAGATGCATCCAACCATGCTACATTTAATGAAGTCATGTGAGAAAACATTGCACACACAGGACATTTTGAACACCGGACATAATTTAGTGAATTTAGTGTTTAGTGAATTAAATTTTTTCCTTTTTTCAATTTAATTCACTTTTCTAATGTTTTGATCAGTATTTCTATGGGAAGCAAACCAGTATAATTACAGTTTTGTTTTCTTAAAATAATGGAATTCTGGAGAGCCTTTGGGAAAACATGGGTCTTAAACATAATAAAATTTACTCTCTCTACAATCTAACACTAATAAGTTAGTGAATCCAAATGTTGACTTTGTCATTCTTGCTTGAATTGTACTTCAAAAAGTCTGAAAACACAAGATATTCATCAAAAGACATTAAAATATAATAAGGCATTAACATGCAAAATGTCACCACCTCGCATTTGTTACAGACACTGACTGTAGAACGCTGTTTCATATGCCAAATGCCAAACACCAGCCACAAAAAGAGACTAAACACCAGAATTGGTGACATAAATACAATTATTTCATTATAGGTGATTTAAAAGGAGATTCAGCAGATAGGGTAATCACGTACTACAAGGTGTTTGCTGAAAGCTTTGGTAATGGTACAGTATGGAGGAAACACTGGGTAGATCACATGATAAGTGTCTGGTCAATCCTGAAGAATCCAGAGACTCGTGAAGAATGGATCAAGACTGCAAGGACATCTTTTGGCCAATTTTTCCAGGTGTGTATTCATACAAATATGTAGCCTTATAAAAATATTAATACTGAATCATATCTATACAGTGTATATGTATATGTCAGAAAGGGATATGATATGGTAGGTTTTGGATATGGAATCTATCCTGAGAAAAATAGGGATTAATTTATATAAGGTTCAAGATACAGGGATGATAAAGATATTCTTTAAAAAATGGTTTGTTGTAATTATTAAGAGCAGGGGCGTAGGAAGGTGTAAATGCAACACTACGCCAAAAATCCCGCCAAAAAAATATGAAACAATTGTGTCAATATTCTATATCAAAACGCCTATTTTATGCTTGTAAAACGTCATTTTATGGTAACAGATTTTAAGCTTGCAATGTTTTTCACAACCTAAATGTGAACGGAAATACTTAAGCGATGCATTTATATGGGCGATTGGTCATACGTATAGGTTGGCGTTTCGATTTTATATGCAAGCTTTAAATCCCTGATACCTTTTTAATGTGCTTTAAAATGTTCGAATGATTTTCATCATTTAAAATCACCTTGGAAAGCCTATCTTTTAAATCTCGACACAAATCATTCTCACTTTGCAAATGTCTCGAACGATTGGGACAACCAATTTCCAAAAAACAATTAGAGATTTTTTAATCATTTTCGAATAATTGAATTAAGATATATAGTATTGTCTGATTCCATCGTGTATCGTGCAATACAATACGTACAGATTAAAGAAACTAGTTTGATCAATTGATATAAAGAAACGCATTCGTGATCAATAAAACAAATAAACACACCCACCACAAAGGTCAAATCGAGGTCAACGTGACTTAGGGGGTGCCAAAAATGTTTTAAAACAAGAATCTATTATTTTTCAAATGAAAAAAAAATAGGTAATCGCTTTTCTAGAACTGAAATCAATGGAACGTGTAATTGAATAATCAGCATTTTCACGTTGTTTTTGTCTTTAACATCCATATTTCAAAAAGTACTACCAATAACAATTAGTGATTTAGTAAGAAAATAGATACTTGTTGACTTAACTATAATTTCGTGTCTTATGATTTTGCATAGCAACGGAATATAAATCGATAGTGAAATTGAAAAATTTGTGTAGGGGAGAATAAAAAATGTACATCTAAATTTAAAGAGGTTCATCATTATAATTATATGATACCATAGTTTGCATAAGCATTACGGAAAATGCAGAAAAAATGTCAAAGGTATTCATCAAGTAGTTTTTGAAAAAAAACTGTTTTCCTCTCAAATTCGTGAAGAGAACGCGATTCACGAATATTTGGCAAAATTGTATTCATAAGACATTCAATAGTGGCTCGATTTTCATGAAATAAAGCATGTTGGTAAGAGAATTCAATCTGTTAAATGATATTTTCCAGACAGACCAATAATGATATGGTATCCACAAAACATTTCTTTAGGCTAGTGTGCTCGAGATTATGAACACTGATGAGAAAATATGACTAAAGAACATAGGAAAATTCTTTTTTATTCTCACTTTTCAACACTACGCACTGGCGTTTTGGCGTACATTGTTCCTACGCCACTGAAGAGTTACATATATTATTCATCACAATTATTTATAGCTGTGTGCCATTTTATAACTAGATGCAAGAAGAATGTTTTGTTAAAAATATTTCACCTTTTCAATTAAAGGCTCTTGATTTCAACGCTGATGGCTTTATTACATTTGATGAGTACTCAATCTTCTGGAAAGCCTATGACCTGGATCCACAGTTTGCCAGAACACAGTTTGATTACATGGATACTGACAACGATGAGAAGATTAACCAGGAAGAATTTGTGGAAGCATTCATTGAATATGTCTGCAACACTGACAAGGAAGATTCACCAAATCGGTTCTTTGGACCTTTACTTACTAATCTTTAGTTTGTGGAACTATTGATATTTGATAGTGCATATAGTGAGAACTTTGTCACATGAAATCAGACATAACATGTATCAGGAGTTAACAACCTGTACTAATTAAACTAACTTCAATTTGCAATAAAACTGAGCTTTCTTACATTTAGTTGTTGTGTCCTCGTCGCACATGACATTACAGAGCACATATCTAGGTCTCTTGTGTTTTTTTATTTTTTATATTTTAGTAAACGTTAGCTAGCTTCATTGCATGCTTTTAAAGCATGAAGCCATTAAGCTGACTGTTAATGTCTGTTTATGAAAATCACCATTTTATAATTTTATATTGTAGGTGAAGGGGAGGGGGTTGAGTTAAACCATAATGAAGTTAACTTTATCGTCCACAACTTTAAGACAGTTGGACACCATCCCATGTGCTATAAATCTAAACATTGTCTCAAAGCTTTTGTTTTTGTGCCATTTTGTGCCTTGAACCCCTGAAGCCTTATTCATAAAGCCAACGTAAATATTTCCATTTACGTCCACGTAACTCAATTGTACGTTGGACGTAAAAACATCTCTCCGTCGTATTCATAAACATATGCGGAAATTGGAGATCTACGTTTAACTTTCCGCAAGGACTTACGCAATCGAAATAATATACTATATACTCCCATATCATGTCCCAATTTTGTGATCACGTGCATGTACGTATTTGGATATGATTGCATCGTTCACACACATGTAATTTGGCGCGTTCCTCGTTATCACGGTTGCTTCTTGATTATTTATACCCCTATATAAAAGCTTATCGTATTCCTTCCGACTTCATTTTGTCATTCATTAGCTCACATGGTGAGCTTTTGCAATCACTCACTTGTCCGTCTGTCCGTCCGTCCGTCTGTCCGTCTGTCCGTCAACAATAGTGGCACGTTTTAAAACCTCTGTCGATAGGATTCCTGTTTTAAGTTATTTCTGTTCAACATCAATACAGAAAACCCCCCTATGACTCCTGGTTCAAAAGCTCGCCTATTTTCAAAATGGCCGTCACTTTTGTCTCGCAAAATTCACTTTTAGCCCATTTCCTAGCTAACCTCTGTCGATAGGATTCCTGTTTTAAGTTATTTCTGTTCAACATCAATACAGAAAACCCCCCTATGACTCCTGGTTCAAAAGCTCGCCTATTTTCAAAATGGCCGTCACTTTTGTCTCGCGAAATTCACTTTTGGCCCATTTCCTAGCTTTACAAATAATTTCAGGTGTCCTACATTGTAAAAATCCATGTCAATGTAAAGATTAGATATATGAAATAATTTTGTTACAAAAAATCAGCGAAAAATTGTATCCATTTTTTTATTTTCAGCCATTTTAGTTAACATTGATTTGTCTATCTGACTCGCGAAATCCACTTTCTGTCAATAACAGTGGCACGTTTTAAAACCTCTGTCGATAGGATTCCTGTTTTAGGTTATTTCTGTTCAACATGAATTCAGAAAACTCCCCTATGACTCCTGGTTCAAAAGCTCGCCATTTTCAAAATGGCCGCCATTTTTGTCTGGCGAAATTCACTTTTGACCCATTTCCTAGCTTTACAAATAATTTCAAGTGCCCTACATTGTAGAAATCCATTGCAAAGTAAAGAGTAGATGTATGAAATAATTTTGTTACGAAAAATCAGCGAAAAATTATATCCATTTATTTATTTTCAGCCATTTTAGTTAACATTGATTTGTCCATCTGTCTCGCAAAATTCACTTTTGGACCATTTACCTTAAACCCTCTGTCGATAGGATTCCCATTTTAAGTTATTTTCGTTCAACATCAATACAAAAAACTCTCCTATGACTCTTGGTTCAAAAGCTCGGCTATTTTCAAAATGGCCGTCACTTTTGTCTCGCGAAATTCACTTTTGACCCATTTTCTAGCTTTACAAATAATTTCAGGTGTCCTACATTGTAAAAATCCATGTCAAGGTAAAGGGTAGATATATGAAATAATTTTGTTACAAAAAATCAGCGAAAAATTGTATCCATTTTTTTATTTTCAGCCATTTTAGTTAACATTGATTTGTCTATCTGACTCGCAAAATCCACTTTCTGTGGCACGTTTTAAAACCTCTGTCGATAGGATTCCTGTTTTAAGTTATTTCTGTTCAACATCAATTCAGAAAACTCCCCTATGACTCCTGGTTCAAAAGCTCGCCTATTTTCAAAATGGCCGCCATTTTTGTCTCGCGAAATTCACTTTTGACCCATTTCCCAGCTTTGCAAATAATTTCAAGTGTCCTACATTGTAAAAATCCATGTCAATGTAAAGAGTAGATGTATGAAATAATTTTGTTACGAAAAATCAGCGAAAAATTATATCTATTTATTTATTTTCAGCCATTTTGATTGATTTGTCCATCTGTCTCGCAAAATCCACTTTTGGACCATTTACCTTAAACCCTCTGTCGATAGGATTCCAATTTAAAGTTAATTTTGTTCAACATCAATACAAAAAACTCTCCTATGACTCTTGGTTCAAAAGCTCGCCTATTTTCAAAATGGTTGCCATTCTTGTTTCGCGAAATTCACTTTTTGCCAAGTTCCTAGCTTTACAAATAATTTCAGCTGTCCTGCATTGTAAAAAGCCATGTCACTGTAAAAGGTAGTTGTATGAAATAATTTTGTTACAAAAAATCGACAAAATATTATATCCGTTTTTTTTATTTTCAGCCATTTTAGTTAACATTGATTTGTCCATCTGTCTCGCAAAATCCTCTTTTGGACCATTTGCTTAAAACCTCTGTCGATAGGATTCCAGTTTCAAGTTATTTCTGTTCAACATCAATACAAAAAACTCCCCTATGACTCCTGGTTCAAAAGTTTGCCTGATTTCAAAATGGTCGCCATTTTTGTCTCACGAAATTCAATTTTGGCCCATTTCTTAGCTTTACAAATAATTTCAGGTGTCTTGCATTGCAAAAAGCCATGTCACTGACTGTAAAGAGTAGTTGTATGAAATAATTTTGTTACAAATTATTGGCAAAAAATTATATCCGTTTTTTTTCAGCCATTTTAATTGACTGAGAGACAGATGGCTTGAAATAATTTTGTAACAAAAAATCAGCAAAAAAATATCCGTTTTTTTCTGTTACCATGTGAGCCCAGTACCCATGGTACTAATTTTTGATTTACACAAAGTTACTATTGTTTTTGACGATACCTGAATTAATGGTGGAAGGGCACAGTTCTCACAAAAAAATATTTGTGGAAAAATTCTTTGCAATAACCAGAAACATATATTCAATTTATATGACCAGTAGGAAAAAATAGTAAATGAAGAGGTGCGATTATTGGCAATTATCCCTATGGTCAAAATGAATCATTCTTAGGTGTAACATGAAGAATAGAATGTCATATAATACTTTGGAAAATATTAAAGTGCTCGGGCACACATACAGGGTGTCCGGAAAGTAAAGATACAAATGCTCTCATTTCAAGAGATTTACCTGTTATGAGATGAAATTGCTACAGATCGTAGAATGACATTATAAGAATATATCCTACAACTGTCATGACTTTTAGTTTCAAAATGAAAAAGTTATGGTTGTTATGGTAACGAGAGTCGAGGGTAAGTGGAGCAACGTCACAACTGTGTTCTACAAATCTCTTTCCTTCTCATGTGATCTTGGCACTCCACCATCTATTCCTATATTATATCAAATTATGTCCCACAACAGCATAAGGATTAGTACTTTAACATTATTTGATCGTTTCATATTACTACTATCATTGAATATTCAGTATTTTCCCCATTATCTATACATTCTTGGTGCATCTTGACCGGCGATTCAAAGGCCTGGCAAAACCGCTGCTGTCCATCTCTTAGATTCCTGATAATATTGGCTTCCAGCTGAGTCTCATTTGTATGTTGAACTTCTTACAAATATTGCTTTCAAATGGTCATTAAAAAGGTAGAAGTCTAAAGAGGCTTTATCAGGTGAATATGGGGCATTGTATAGAAAGGTTTAATGTCAAGACACTCAATTGTAAGATTTGTTTTTTGCTTTGTGAATTGGTGCATTGTGGAGATGCAATATTGACTTTCCTACTATAATGGCCAGGGACCATTCTTCTAGGCACTTGTATAATATTTCTTTCATTATACTGGTTAGTGACATAACATAGTTCTGATATGTAGCAATGGCATCATTATATAAAAGAAAACACTGTGGCAGCAATAATACAATGATGAACTAAACAAAACATTGATAGAAAATACAACAAAAAACACTGTTTCAAATGGTTGTCTTTCAGCAATTTTTCACTTTTTAGCGTTGTTCTGGAACTGCTCCGCATACCCCTCGTATCCGTAACCATAACAACCGTAACTTAAACACATTTAGACTATATGTGATGAAAGTTGGTAGATATATTGTAATATTGTTTCTCTACAATCTGTAGCAATTTTATTTCAAAAAACTCAAATTTCTTAAAATAAGAGTATTTGTATCTTTACTTTCCGGACACCCTATAAGCTGAGATAGGGATCATTTCGTTCAATAAGGTTGTATTGTCTTACATGGGGCTATGCACCATTGACTTAACATGAGGATATCAGCAGATCCCAACAGAGGCCATTGGTTTCCATTGATTATCACAGAAATACCAAAAATACACTATGACCTGAATCGATTGCAAACTTTATAATTAAACAATATGACACAAATGGTTCATTTCATCAAATGTTCAAATATAAAGTTTACAATCGATTCAGGTCATACTTTAAATTAAAAGATTGTACATTTTTCATCATTTTTTACCTACAAAATGGCTATAAAAATGCTTCAAAAACATTTTTTACACTTATCAAATATCATAAAACCTTGCAAATCAAAGATTATAATATTATATTTCATTATTTAGTATCATATTTGGATATTATAAGATGTAGGGATGCCTAAGGTGCAAATGGATTTTGAAAGACACAAAAATACTTCCTGGTTTGAAATCTACACCTCTACACAGGGGAGGGGGATTTCCCAAAGATGACCTTTCATATTGGCACGTTCGAAAACAAATTTTAAAGACAGGCCTCATTTGCCATTGAACTGAATCTCCCAATGTTCGCGTTAGTTTTATGAGTATTCTCTTCAAGTTTGGATCGAGTAACTTCAATAGTATTACCGTAGGTTTAAAATGATGATATTGAACTGATAATAACGCCAGTTCCATGATTTCAAATTTTAGGTTCACGTG